TGCCAATCCCTTTGCTGCTTGTGAAATATAAGGGTGCATTATTGTTGTTGTTGGTTGCCGATAAGGATATCGTTGTCTGATGCTAGTGAAAGGTCATCATCACTAGTTGTCGCCATGTTTTTGCCATTGTTAGAAGTGTAATAGGGAAGAAGAATGTAAAATGGAGGAAAGGATAAAATAGACAGACTTTGCATAGAAAGCATTATAGAATGGGATTCCATCGTGTATATATGATGGAATCCGATTCTGCCTGTTTTGTAGGATCGAGAATTCTTGAGAATTGTAATTATAGCATACCAAGCATACTATCACATGGATTTCATTTCTGATTCCTTTCCCTCTTATTTATATGATGTATTACGGTGAAATATGAACTATCTGTGAGCATGTAGTCCTAAATTATTCTCTTTCTTCTGAGGTACGAGGTATTTGAAGCTCCTAAACATGTATTTGGTTGATTCAAGCATGGAATCACATCGTGTTTTGTCCAAACCATAAGCATCAAACAGTAATCTTTTAACAGTTTGGTCCATTTCTACCAGAAACTTCACATAGAGATTGATTGTCTCACTGCTCAAACAATTAAAGAAAATTATAAAGCAGTACAAGAAATGTAACCAAGAAAACAACATACGTAAGCGAGTTTATAAAGCAGCACCAGAAATGATCATATCCTGTCGTGGGCCACATAATGCTGGCAAACTTTTGAATTGCTTCCTCATTGGATGGGCCTTCTAAGTGGATTCCAAGAGATTCGTGTAAAGGAATCATAGGACGTCGTTCATAGTAACCGTGGGCAAGCTTGTCACTGGTCTTTCGCATTTTTGTTTCCAATGGAAGATCAAACAGTTCTTTCATTATATTAAGTATGAGTCGGAAAGCTCTACGGAGACCTTCTTACTCAGTGCATAGAAACAACCATTACTCTCTAGTGCATTTCGCAGCACTTGTTTAGTTGAAAACCAAGTGTCAGAACCAGGTTTCAAGTTTTCATCAGTGAAGTCTATAATCGAAATCTGGAAAATGGTCGAGGAATCCATCTTCTCAATGAGTTCAAGGATGATACAGCTAATGGTACTCGGAGATATCTTGTGCCTTCAGTTAACGGAGTTTCATGTACAAGGTAAAGTTTTATGACTAAGAATGTGGTCCTTTATAATAGCTGAAAACATGGTAACGAATCAACAGAGACATGAAACACAAGAGTTGCGTCACTTTGTGGCTCAGAACACTAAAGTTTGAAAAAGAAACACACACAGATGTCAGAAGTCAAGCAACGACTTGGCCACTTGGTTTTGGGTGGGGGTTGGGGGGTTAAATATTTTTTATTTATAATATCTATGTATATTTATAATAGTTTTAAAAATGAGGATAAATTATTGAATAAAAATTGTACATGATGAAAAAATGTTGAGAAAAATGAAACCACATATTTCATATATTAAATAAAAAATTATAAAACATATAGTTGGTAAAACATATATGTTTATATATAATATTTGCATATAATATCAATATCTAAATATCGAATTAATACATATTCTATATATCATTTTTTTTAATAAGATACACATTTTATATATCAAAGCTAAAAGCACACAAATATTTACATTGTTTTCGGACTTCCTTTTTTTTTTTTGGTGGGGGAGGAATGGGGATGGCTTTTTTGGGAATAGAGAGTGGTTTTTGTTTTTGGTAGAATTTGGAAAGGGCCTCATATGGGCCAGGTCCACATGAGCTTGGATCCTGAAGCCTTTTTATATAAAATGTTTTGGGCAAATTGGTCAAAAAGACTAAGTTGGAAAACAAATTAGTCTCAAGGAGCAAATTCTATTAAAGGACCATGCTGAATTGTTTATTCATTTTACAAATTCTAATTGGACCAAAATGCCCCTAGGGTCATAATAAAGGAATTTGAAGTCAAAGACCACTCTATGCTTAGTTTTTTTGTGCACGTTGATCTAGAGAAGACAATGAAGGATGTTTTCGAGAGACCATCAACGACAGTGTAAGTTATAAGCAAGTCATGAACAATGAGTTTTTAGAAAGGCTGCCCCATCTCTTCACATAGTGCCCTAATTGGATGAGTTTTGAGGTTCACGAGAGTTTCAATGATGGAGCAAATGATGGCTTAAGTGAAGATGGCAAAAATGAGCATCGCTATTTCTTTGCTTACCCAATTAGAGGGGTAGTATACCCCTCCAATCATTCACATAGTATACCCCTCCAATTGGGCAGGCAAAGAAATAGTGACGTTCATTCTCACTATCGGTGTGTTTCACTTAGGCCATCGTTGCCGTCGTTTGCTCCACCGTTGGAACTCTCAAGAACCTTGAAACTTGCTCAATTAGGGCAACATATGAAGAGATAGGGTTGTCTTGCTCATAGCTCACACCATCATTGATGGTCCTTCAAAAACGTCCCTCATTGTCTTCTCCCTTTCAACTCGCACGAAAAAACCAAGCACAAAGTGGTCTTCAATTTCAAACTCTTTTGTTAGGATAGGGGCATTTTGATTTGATTAGAATTTGTAAAATGAATAAACAATTCAGCCTAGTCCTTCAATGAAACTTGGTGCCTGAGACTAATTTGTTTTCCAACTTAATCTTTTTGATCAATTTTTCCAATATTTTTTTCAAATTTAGCCTATCAATATGACGAGGCTCATGTATCTAATATATATATGTGTGTGTGTTAAAGTATATTTTTGATTTTTTTAAATTTTATAAAGTAATTTTTGGTTCTCTAACTCTAACACTATTGGCTCTAAATAATATTTTTTTTGCTAATCATTGTTATTTCTTTAAAAAAAATTAAATTTAATATGTCAACATTTGATGTATTTTATCAATGTTTAAAAGTTTAATATAAAAAAAATTTTATAATAAAACTAATGATATTAGAATTAAAGAATTGAAAAATCACTATATATAATATTATGGGAGTAAAATAAAAAAAACATGGTATAAAGTTACAAAACTAACAATATACTACATGTGTAAGTGTGAGAGATCAGGCTCAGAGTCAAATCTAAAAGCCTATTTTTATTGTTTTAATTTTTTTTAATTAAGCTTGTCAGTATGATATTATATATTTATACTCTTAAGTATAAATTAAAATATTTTAAAATTTAAAATAAATAATTTAAATATTAATTTTAAAGTAAAAACATATATTTCAAAATTTAAATTTAATAAAAATATACAAAATATTATAATTTTTTGGAATTAAAATAAATATGAGTTTAAACTGATAAATTAAGCATGTTTTTTTCTGGGTTTGAAAAACGTCACACACAACTGAGAAATCCTTCCTTGCTAAAATTAAATATCTTAATTTTCGAAGGGCGAACTTAATAATAAAGGATGCAAATAGATAGTTGGGTAAACCTGACCATATTCCCTGTTCTTTTTTCCCCACTTTTAAAGGTCAGCACTACGAAACGCATGACTTTCATCCATCCGTGAGAACAAAGAACATGAGAGTGGAAAGAGCATATTTTAGTGTAACCAAAGATCGAGTTCGAGTCTTGAAAGTGTAACAAGGTGAATGGCAGGAGTGCCCACTCTTATGGTGCTTATCATATCTCATTCTAGATTATTTTTGGCTGCATTACAGGTGGAGTGAGGCAGGGTGAAATGTTCCTAAAAAGGGGAAAAAAAACATGAGAGAAGAGGGAATTGTGTACCTGAGTCTTGATTTGAAATCCTCGATGAGCTTCTCCTTTGGAGCTTCTTGTACTGAAGCTGGGGAGCTTTATATGGTTGATAATGGTAGGAATATAATATGAAATTAAATGCAATTAAATGAGATTTCACGCAATGAAATATTAATCCAATCCCCAAGTCCCAACAAGAGACAAAAAGGAACATACGTAGCTTAATGCATGCATTGTTAAGGGTGCATGTCGTCCAAGTGTATGATATGAGGACCAAATTTAATCCCACTGCCATCACATGAGTTATGAGTTAAATCTTCCGGAACAATAATGTTTGTTGAGTTTGTAAAATGAACTTTGACCGATAGAACACATAAAAAAGAAAAAGAGAAAATCATTGTCTCAGGGAGAAATTTAATTTTAAAAAAAATCCCAAAAAAGTAAAATAACTCTTAAATTTCATGGGCCTTATTTGTTAATGAATTTTGGAGTACTTCTTCAAAAAGTCCCATTCTGTTTGGGCCAATTTTTATCCGAACAATTTCTATTCTTTTTATATTGTGTGAAAGAATCATGGTTTTAAAAATTAAATCAGCTATTAAACTAGACTAGTCATTGGTTTATGATTTATTGGTTTAATTGTGGTCAAACCGTGGTTGAATTAGTTGATATTAAATTAATATATTTTAAATTAATGTATTATAATAAAATAAAAAATTTACGCAAGCATTTATATTTTAAAAATATATATTAATAAATGCTTAGTAAAATGATATATTATTGATGATACATGATTAATATTAATTATTTTTGGCTGTTTTTTGTTTTAATTAATTTTTTAAAATTTTAATTAATTCAGACCAGTTTTTAAGGGAATTAGTTTAGTTTTCAACTAATTTTTGACTAATTTTTTGGTCGTTAACCTGTTCAAGAGCTGATTCCCAGTTTAGTCCAATTTTTAAAATATTGAAAAGAAAAGTTCGACTACTCTTTTTAGCTTTTTAGCTTCTGTTCTCCGGTTAAAAAAACGAAAAAAAGGCTTTTTACCTTTTGTTTGGAATCGTTTTTTTATTGTTTAATATAATTTATCTTTAGATAAAAAAAATTCAATATACAATTGAAAATGCCATGTTTGGTTGAAAAAGAAATCAACAAACATCACATATATTATATTGTCAACAAATGGTGGGCTTGAATTAAATTATCTTTAATATACTTCTTTTCTTCTAACCTTATTTATAAGTTACTTCCATCATATTTTATTAGAATCATAGAAAACCTTAAACCTCAGTCTGATCTTTAACATAATCTGATCTTTAAAAGCTCGGTCTGCGCTGGAAGAACTCCGTCTGTGCTGGAAAACTTGATCACAGCATGATAAAATTTAAAAGCTCCGTCTGCGTTGGAAACTTGTTACGCAACTTGATGTATTCATAATGGTTAAATGCTTTGTATCGCAGTGGATGGTCCTCATCAACTAGCCCTTCTTCTGTTTCCATCATCTTACTGTTATATGAAAATAATCCAATGGAGTACCTCTCCTTGTCTTCTGTCATCATCACCTTATGTTCAAGAGGTGGTATTCTGTCATTGCTCCAAACCTAAAATTAAAAAAAAAAAAAAAAGCTTTCATTTCCAAAACATTAATCTTGATGACATGAAACTATGAAAATAATCGACCTACGTACCTTTAATGCATCACCTGCCAAGAACAAAAACTTGCTGGGCAAGGGATCAATATTGACCCATTCACCAGTTCTCAGTTTAGCTTCCAAACCTGCCACGTTATTCTGATGTAATATGGTGAAGTATGAACTGTCTGTGTGAGCAATCAGTCCTAAATTATTCTGTGCCTTCTGAGGAACAAGGTACTTGAAGCTCCGAATCATGTAATTGGTTGAATTAAGCAGGGAATCACAACCACTTTGGTCCAAATCATAACCATCAAAGAGCAATCTTTTAGCAGTTTGGTCCATTTCTATCAGCAACTTGGCATACAGATTGATTGTCTCACTACTCAAACAATGAAATAGAGTTATTAATGATAAAAACTACTGGCGGGGGAAGGCAACCGTGGAAACAACAAAAATGAGTTTTTGAGCAGTACCAGAAATGATCATATCCTGTCGGCCACATTATGTTGGTGAAGTTTTGAACCGCTTTGTCATACGATGGGCCGTCCAAGTCGATTCCAATGGCTTCATACAAAGGGACTTTTGGATTTCGTTCAAAGTAACCATGGTTAGGCTTATCACTGGTCTTTTGCTTTTTTGTTTCCAATGGAAGATCAAACAGTTCTTTCATTAGATCAAACACAGAGTTGCAAAGCTCCATTGTGATGCTATTAGTGGTTACAAAAAAGCAACCATTACTCTCTACTGCACTTCGCATCATTTGGCTAGCTGCAAACCAGGCATCTGTACCACGCTTCAAATTTTCATCGCTAAAGTCTATAATAGGAATTTGGGAAAGTGTTTGGGAATCCATCTTCTCAATAATCTGTCAAAGCGAGCGCCAATGAATTTAAGGTTGATTAGTAATGGAGTTCATATACAAAGTTAATTAAAAAAACAAATTAAGAATGTGGAACTTTGTGATAGTTGTGATCACATTAGTATTGCGTAAATGGAATATAATATCATAGTGACTTCAATCTATCAATAAAAACACAGATGTTTGAAAAAACATAGATATATGTCAAGAAGTTAAGCAACCACAGTGAATGAAACTAATTACTTAAAGTCAAGGTAATAGAGAGCATGAGAAGAAGGGGAGGCACCTGAGTCTTAAAATTGTGAGCAAGTGATAATAATTAGGTTATTAAATATTATTAAGAGATGCATCTCTTTATGAAGGTTCATGAATATAATTATTAGGTTCATTGATTATTTAGAAGAATTATTTAAATGATTCATGAAAAATCACCAGATTCATGAATCGTCCAGAGAAATGTCTTTATTAAGGTTATTGGATCACAAGATTTATGAATGTTATAAATATTATTAAAAGATATGTCTCTTCATTATAGAAAAATTAGAAATATGAGATTTTATTTATTTACTAAAAACTAATTTGAATAAGAAGTACTATTTTGTAGAGAATAGAAGGTTCGAAAGTGTTTTTTTTTTCCTTACCCATTACTAATCAGCTTGTAAAAAAGAACTATTGGGAAAAAACAAAGGGTGAAATGGTAGTTTTGCTACTCAATTCTTTGCGTAGGGTGTTTGATTTCTTAGACTTTTTTTGTGTAATGTTTCTTTTTAACAATTAAAAACGGTGTAATTTTTTCCTTATAATTAATAAATTTTAACTTGAACTATTTATTGACTAGAAAATTATAAAAAATTTAAAAAATTACAAAAAATGATCTTATAAAAAAATTAATACCAACTAGGTCTCCTAAATTACATATATATATATATATATATATCAAAAGATAAATATTGTTTCTTATCCATATAAAAGACAAAAATATCATTTTGACTAATCACTTTGACCAGCTGCTAGATGATTTAGATTGCCATTATTAGAACAAAACCAGTAAGTAATTAAAAACTAATATATTTGTTACCAAAAGAAAACTAATATGTTTGTTTTGATGATCTCTTATTAACATATTCATATGATATAATATTTAATCATTTAAGTATTATTATTTATAAATTTTGTTCCAAGATATATAAACAATCTTTTAAGGGTATGTTGGTTTAAGATTGTAAAATAAGTGATTTTTAGATAATTTAAAAATTTTATAAAAATAGATTTATTTTGTAGAGACTGTATAAAAAACATACATTATCTTATGTTTAGTTACAATAATAAAAAGTGATTATTAGTTAGTCATTTTTAAATTTTATGTTACCTTCCTTGATTTTGTTTTATAAACATGATTTATTATTTAATTATTTTAATATTTTATGATATCTTTATGTATCCTGCATTTTTAAAATATTATTTTTCATGTACTGCATTTAGAAGCTACTCAAAGTAGCTTTTTAAAATAATCAAAAATATTTTTTTAGATTCTAATTATTTTTTAAAAATTTAAACAAACATAAAAAAATTCATAAAATAGATTTTTTTAAAAAAATGCTTTTTTATAAAATAGACTGAAAGGACAAACGGGCCTTAAAAATCAATTGCTGAATTAGTGTATTCAACATTTATAGATGAATGTGTTTTTCACATTAGAATTAAAATAGTGAGGACAAGGGCTCTTTAGTGGGCCAACAAAACCAGACGATTGCTATGGACATAAGTAACGAGATGAAGGAAGATGACTCGACTAAGATGAACGGGACACAGATTGAGGATATTGTGGGGTACATTATGGGGGATGTGAACCCAATGAACCTTCATGTTTCTCCATGAATTACATGATTTGGAACTCATGGGGTACAGGTTCAAAAACCTTTCTTGGCCTCATACGTGAGCTTCAAAGGTTTTATGAATTGGATTTTCTGGCTCTAATGGAAACACGCAGCGGTGGTGAGAAGGCTATGAAGATGGTGTCTAAGCTAGATTTCAACAGTTTTGACGTAGTAGATGCCCAAGGTTATAATGGGGCTATATGGTATCTTCAACGAAATAACGTACTGAAAATTAAGACAACAAAAAAGCACCAATAATTTGTTCACCTCAAGATCGAAAGGCTCGGGAGAAGCTTGTGGTGGCTAACCATTGTTTATGCTAGCCCAAATATAACAATTCAAAGAGGTCTTTGGATTGAGTTAACCAAGATTGGAGATGAAGTTAATGGTCCTTGGTGTATCACCAGGGATTTTAATGCTCCTTTACTGCATTGCAAGGGACCCTATAAAAGGGTGTCTTTCGAGTAGACACATTTATGTCGATGCTTTGAATCTGAGGGTCTCCATGATTTGGGCTTCATGGGTTCTGACTTCACATGGCAGTGTGGTGATAGTTATAGTTGGTTGGATCGAGCCATTGCAAGTGATGATTGGGTCAACCTCTTCCCTTTTGTAACAGTAACTCACTTAGACTTCTTAAGGTCAAACCATCATCCCATACTACTAAATCTAGTTCCTAATATGGAAAAGTGGGCAGATGAACCCTTTCGTTTTATTGCCTTATAGGTTATGCATGAGAATTTTGGAAAGTTTGTCGAGGAAACCTAGGCAATAAATGAGGATTGAAATGCTGAGATTTCAAGATTCATTCATGCCTGTAGTACCTGGAATAGGGAGGTGTATGGTCACTTATCCTCATGCAGGAAGAAAATCCTAAAGCAAATTGACGGGAAAACCAAGTCTATTTGACGTGGCAATGTTGACCCTGAAATTGACACCCTTCTATGTGGACGTTGGGGGAAACTAGAAGACATTATACTGCAAGAAAGTCTTATCTGGACATAAAAGTTTAAGGTTGATTGGTCCTTGTATGAGGACAAGAATGCTAAGCTATTCCATATAAAAGCTAATAGGCAAAGGAAAATGTACAGAATTAAAGCTTTGCGGGATGACAATGGGAAATAGGTATATGACAACCAAACACTTGAATTGATGACTACCTCATTTTTTGAGAATTTGTTTGTAGAGGATGAGGTTGTTAGGAGCAGCATACAGTGTGACGTTTCTTACCCCGCAATTGCTAATGGTGACAGAGTCTTTAGGAAGAAAGGTTAATAAGACATAAATTAAGGAGGCTATTTTTGGCATGGGGTCATTGAAATCTCTAGGACCAGATGGGCTGAGTCCTATTTTTTATCAGAGCTAGTGGAAAATTGCGGCGCCATCAGTAGTAAGTTTTATAAAGGATCTCTTTGAACATCCTGAAAAAATTCACAAGATCAACCAGATCTTCCTGATGCTTGTCCTGACGAAGGAATAGCCAGAGTCTATACATGACCTTCGTCCTGTTAGCCATTAAAATGTTATCTTTAAAGTAATTACATAAGTTATCATGAATAAAATAAAGTTGATACTCTCAGATTATCTTGCCTTATTAGTGTCGTTTCATTTCTAGGCAACATAGCTCGAATAATATTATCATTGCTCGAGAGATCATCCACTCTATAAGGATTATGAAGAGAGGAAGGGGTTTAATGGCAATTAAAATTGACCTTAAAAAAGCCGTCAATTGATTAAACTAGCATTTTGTTATTAATTGTCTTAAGGAATTAAATCTACCATCAATTATTAAGGTTATAAGGAATTCTATCTCCTCAACTTCTGTGCAGATTTTGTGGAATGGGAACAAGGCAGCATCTTTTACTCCTAAAAGAGGCGTTTGAAATATCCCTCACTATTAAACACAATTAACTAATAAAACTCATGATAATCAAAAGATTAACCTATAAAGACGATTACCAAATTTTAACTCAAAATCAAGGGATCTCAATTTTTCTTAATCAAAATGAGTTTAAATCAATCATAATCTTTTATATCAAATTAAAAATAAGTTACAAACGCATAAAATACTTCAGAGGAGTGAAAGAAATTGAGAACAGTTGAAAAACAACTCATTTGCTGTAAAATAGGGCAATGCGTTGTGGCTCGTGCATGTTACTCTCTATGCCATGCACCACAGTGTGTTACACGCAAATGATAGCAGATTGATAGCATAATCAGGGAACTTCTAATACGTCTTGATTCTTTGTCCAACGTTTGATTGACATGATTTAGGTGTCTATGGAAAGCTCTTTTCATAAACTAACTAATAGTATGAGTTTTACTTTTAAAACAAGTCACACTAGAAAATTGAACACCCAAACACATTTCTATTACTTTTTATAGCTTTCACACAAAAAAAATGCTTGAAACCCAAAAGTGGTAAAAGCCTTTCATAATACCTGAACCATATCTATTGGACCTAAGAGTATTAGTACAACATGTCACATGCACTTAAATATCTATATAATACAAAATTACTCATCAACCCCTTTTTCGTCAAAAATAAAAAAGGAAGTAATTTTCTTTGTATTGCATCCAAAACAATCAAAACATGTTTAAAACACCATTTTGACACTTGCCTTAGTATTTTAGCCCTATCAAATATATTTATATATCTCCATACACAATTTCTCAGGGCCCAAAATATAATTCAAACATTTGCAATAACAAAATAGTGTAAATACATGATATGTAACCTAGAATTGACAGCCATATTCTATTACACAAAATAATTATAAGCTAGAAGCGTACAGTAGGAATGAACTAATTCCTAGTCTCTTGAACCTTCTCCCTCTCTGCACCAGATCTAGAGCCTAAAAAGTGTTAAATGAAAGGGGTAAGTCTAGCTACTCAGTAACCAAAGTTAAAGCTATTATATGCAGTTATATATCAATTATAAATCAAACACATACATATGAAACCAAGTACTTAAAACATGCTTTA